TGCTCTTTTGAGTGCTCACTCAATGGAACCAGCAGCAGGCTGCCCGTGCCACATCCTAGTCTGCATCATAGACAATATATACAAATACACAGCTGGTTTATTCACTAAACACCAAATTGTAAATAATAGGTGGAATTAGCCAAGCTGTGCCGAGACTGACCTGAGGGGTTTTAACAAATCCATTATTCTTGGATTTGGGTTTTATATGTTTACCCTGATTCTCCTGTGTGTGACAGTTCTATAATTTATTGTATTGTGTTGTTACCTATATGTTTATGTTTTATACAATGTTTTGAATCCATCAGAATAAGTTAAATGTAGCATTATTAAAGCATAGTCCAAGTTTTCTTATGGAGCAGTGTCCGAATGTGTTCCTTTTCAGGAGCCCAGTCTATGGGCCCTTTGCAAAAGACCAAAGCATAAATACAATAAGTATTGCAGTTTATATCTCCCATGCTAACATTATTATAGGACCCATCAACTTGGCCATATGGTGTAACTGAATCCCCATTTTTCTGCAAAAAATATGTGATTTTAAGTAGACTTGCAACATATAAACCGTAATTGTTTTTGTGTGTGCATTTTTCCTTAAACTGTATTTTGTATAGATTTTGGTCTTTACAGCAGCACCACTTCTTAGAAATGCATGTTATGGGTGTGCCCCCAATTCCTATTTTTTTCTGTGCAGATTTGGAATCCAGACCAGATTCCTGTTGTGTTGAGCACTCCACCCATCCACTAGGGGTGCCCCTTTTGTGGTGACCACAATAAAGCATAAATTCAGGAGTCTCTGGAAGCCATTTAAGCTGTAAGTATTGCAGTAAATCTATCATGTTGAAATTAGTCTAGAACCCACTGATATTAGGGTACTGTGGTGTAGTGGTGGGCGTGACACAATATGGCCATATGGTAAGAATGAATCTCCGTATATGTTTGCTATGATAGGTGATTTTAAGTAGCCTTGTAAAATGTATATATTTTGTTTTTTACGCAGTACCACTGCTGAGAAATGAATGATCAAGCATGTTCCAGGTGTGCCCCCAATTCTCTATTTTTCAGAGTCTGAGGACCTCTCTCCTGGTTTCATGGATTGTTAGCATGCTAACAATCATTGATTGGCATGTGAGGTGTTACACATGCATACGCCCACATACACACACAAACACACAAGTTCATACATAATATTTTTTTCATTTAGCACTGGTAATAATTTTATTCGTCGAAAGGAGAGCTGTTTGTAAATTTCATAACTGTGAACAAAGATTCATACATTAGCACTTGTCTCACCTTGAAAGCACCCTCTAAATGTGTTCATTTTAGTATGCTTTTTCATACAAATTATATATTCTGGTACATTTGTATTACATTTGATATATGGATTTTAACAGTTAGAGCCCTAATAAAAATTTTTAACAATTATTACTGATATTTTCCTTTTTTAAAGAATATATATATATATATACTAAGTATCCTGGACAAGACAATACACAAAGTGAAGGTTCTACCTTGTACCACAATCATTTCTTTCCTAATTGAGTATTCTTTGGAGATACTTTTCTATCTACAATCAGCACTGAAATCCAAGGCGATATAATTATAATTTTATGACAATAGTGCTTCCTATTCCCGAGCATGTGGCATGTGCTGCAATCAGTGTTGATAGTTTTGTTTTATTTATAGCACTGGGGGATGAGGCTGAGTGAATATGTCTGACGTGCTAAAAAGTGCAAGCTTTCAATCTTTCCCTGAAACCAAGCCTAAAATCAATACTACATCCTAAACAATGGAGAAGCATTTAGATTTTAATGTGTGACCTGCAGCAGTCGTTCTGACATTTGAACTGCGTATATTAGCATTTTCAGAACAAGCAGGTGATACATGGAATTCTAATCACTCCTTAGTCTTCTGATTCATCGCACATAATTTTCAAGGGAATAAGGCTTTGTCTCTATTTATCATGCCACAAAACTAACCATAAAATATGTGTTGCCAAGTTATGTGTTGCTAATTCAGCCAGCAGTTTGTGAGCCTTGACAGCAAAGAAGCAAAACACTAACAAGTTCTGTGTAAGGTATTGAAAGGATTTAAATACACCCTCCTGGAGTGTGAAAGAAAAAAAATGATTCCTGAGAGAGTGTCCTGAAAAGATTATGCTATTTGTTTTTCTGCATGATGCCAGTTGAACGTTGTTAGCATAAAGTTTAAAATCCCTCATCTCCAGAAGGAAGAGGAAAAAGGTAGAAATCAAACTACCTCTGTTTTGCAGAAGTCTCTCTGCAGCCCTTTGTAAAAGAAAAATACATCAACGGAGAGAATGCACATACCGAAGAGAGACATCAATATCTTCCATCTATAAGTCGTCAGAAAAAAATCTGAAAATAGCAAAAATAACTAAACTCTTCCAATTCTATTGCATTTGCTTGTGGATGTTAAGAAATATTAAATGTTGCTGGTGGCTAATTATTTTCTGTTATATAAGACAAAGTTATGCTTCTTGCCACCAATATAAATAGCATGAAAAAAAAAACACAACATCAAAATATTTTTTCATCATGAGGAGAAAATTAAACTTTTTGACTAAGTGCTAAGAAAGTTTCCAGTGGTACCATAAAACAGAAAATGGCAGCAGAAATCAGGCAGCGGTTGCTAAGACCAGTAAGATATAGTCATACAAAAAGTTCCATAAAGGGTGTTAATTAATTGAGGAATGAAAGATTTAGTTATAAAGAAATGCTAAAACGTCAACTTGTTTAATTAAGAAAAAAATGAATCTCAGAGAGATGTCTTCACATTATTTAATTATATACAGGACTATAGTAAAAACAGCTCTCTGTTAACCTGATCATCAATAGGACTGTACGAAGGACAAGAAGTTAACCATTTAAACTTGAAGAAAGAAAATTTCACCTATGGCAGAAGGAGCGACTTAATTATAGTAAGAAAAATAAAGATTCTGAATCCTCTACCTAAGATTCTGTACAGATTTTCTCAGGGATATTAAGGGTTTAATATTTAATATGCAATATATAAATTCAAGGATATATTTTTTAATATACAGCATGTTGATCCAAGGTGGAATCTGGAGGGAAAAAGGTATTTTTTTTTTTTTACCAATTTAAGGTAAAATTGGAAATTGCTACAAACAGTTTTCCCCCCACTTTCTTTCAGATCAACAGCAATAACACAGATGTAGGAGGAAAGGCTAAATTTGATAGACCTAAGTATTTTTCAATTTATAATACACTGCATTTTGTAACTAAACTGCTCAGTATAGTTTTTCCATGCTTTTTAACACCTGTAGCCTTGTAAGATTTCTGTAATTATGAGAGTTAAATGACACAGTAAAAACAGAAAATTAACAGCCAATAACAATAAAAGTTGCAGCCAAATGTTTGAAGCTTCTAGCAGGAAACTTAACCTATGCAAGATTTGTGAGGTTTGCTACAGTATATTTCTGATGTAAAAAATGATTTTGTTATATTGCAGAACGCTTACAGTTCTTAACCCCACATTCTTCAAGTCTTAAAATAATTTTATGATACTTTCTTTTTAACTTATCTTGTGATGAGTGAACAGGGTAAACAGTTGGTGTTTAGATTGTTATTCTTGGTCACGGTCCTGTTATTTTATAGACATAATATATGTACAGACCCTTTGTACTAGAATAAGTGATATCCAGTGTGAAGACTAATTTTCTCGAAGATAACAACTCAAAGGTTCATAAGCTTCATTTAAATGTGTATATTGTGTGCATGTGCCTGTGATTTCATACAGTCTTTAACAAGAACAAATAGTATAGTCAGTTCATTCATTTGTAATTATTTTTAAAGTGAACATGTAACGGGTTCATAAACAGGCTAAATCTCCAGCAAATTGCATTGAATACATCATGTACCACAGAGATTAATGACATATTCCACGTTAAATATCGAGATATCACTCACCATATCTCACCTTTTACTTGTCTTCCTGGGAGTTACTCTTCATGTAATAGCCACCTACGATTTACAATTTGACAGCAAATTGGTTAAAAAAAAAACGTTATTTATTTATTTTAAACATTTTTGTAAAATAATTCTTTATTTTTGTAGTGCAGTATTAGGTTCACAGGCTGTACATGTCGATAGGAGGGAAATAAAGTATGTAGTACAAAGCAGCAATTAAGACATAGGTCAGAAGATGTGGTAGTGCACTATTTTTTAATAGAAGAGCCAGCCAATATTATGTGGAACTATGTGAGGGTCTGGGTCTTAATGAATAAGGAGAGTGTGGGCTCTTTGGCTTGTACATCTATGAGTTGTATCATCAAGTGAGGAGGAAGTAAAGTGGAAGGATATTTTAGTTGCACATCACAGTTAGAGTTACAACCGTAGCACTGGCGAGGCCCTATAATAGTAAAGGGTGTTTGAGGAGTACTCAACTCGTTAAATAATGGATAGTGTTGGCCCATAACCTAAGGGGATCACGGGAGGGCGGTGGTAGTCAAGGCCAACTTATTGGATCTTAGTTAGCAGTAAGTTAAAGGGAAACAAGAGCCAGACGTGAAATAACAGGTTACAACTCATAAAGAAAGAAACAAAAAATACAAGCCTGTATAGCTTGGTAGCTCAGATTGGTATCCACTACATATGTACTCCTGCCCCCTTTTGCTCCAAGGAATGAATGGGACAGTTGTCTCTGGGTCCAATGCATGGGAAGTTTATGGCATCTCCGGTGGTGGGGTGACAATTTTTGGAAGAAAGTTGGGGCCTTGGACATGGTGGAGAGCTTCAGGACGTTGTCCTCTTTGATAATCACCAATGTTCTTGGTAGTAGCCATCTGTATTCCATGTTCTCTTTACATAGTTGCGTAGTCACCAAACTAAATTACTTTCTCCATAGCAAAGTATTCCTGGTAATGTCTTGAAAGATAGTAAATTGTGATAATTTAAAGTCAAATGGGGTCTTGCCCCTAGCAGCTGCAAGAATACAGCGTTTGTCCACCGTGGAGTGGCATCGAACTATGCTGGGGGTGCCTGTTTTGCTTTCTTGATGCAAAAATTGCAGTCGAAATTAAGTTTTTTAGCTTGGGTGTGTGGCAGGAGCACTGCTGTGAGCCATCTCAGGTATTGTGGAATTCGGTTGGGCCAATCGAGTCTGAGACCCTCTGAATTTTGACGTTTGTGTGTCAACTGCAGTCTTCCATAGTGTCTAGTGTAGTTTATAATATTGTGTTTGCAGACTGTAGTTGTCACAGGGTATCCCCCAAGCTTTAAACTTCTTGGTGTAGATCCATTGTCCTCCTTTGTGGCCTGTACCCATGCCGTCACTGCCTGCGTCTCTGTCCGAGCCAAATTTATGTCATCATCAAACATCTTCTTAATCTCTTGCAGTAATTGCCTTATATCCCGTTTTGTGGCTGGGGCTGAGTTATCCCCTTTGGCTTGTGTGCTACTAGGTGACCCAGACTGCTGTTCTTTCCCCCCTCCCTCCAAGAGCAGCTCCGGGCATGTGGAGTCGGTTTCAGGGTCAGGTTCGGTTGCCATTTTGTGGTTTGCGGGTCATTACAGCAGGGCCTAAATATCACGGGTGTCTTTGGGCTTACCTGCCTGTGGTTTCTGCGATCTTCTCCCCATGTTGGTGCTGGGAGGTTGCTGCTATTTGGTAGGCAGTTGGGTCCAGCACTTAAGGTCTGGGAAGAGTGCAGCCGATAACTGTGAGGTCCCCACAGAATGGATAGCAAAGTAGGCCTGAGACTTGTGTGGCGGGTTTTCTTGCCCTTTTGGGCGAATAAAAAGGGCATTGGTGGGAAAGTGTCTATATTAAGTAGTTATGGGTCTCTTAAGTCGATGGCCCACTGTGACTTCGATTTGCAATGGATTAGTCACCAACTCTGGAGAGTCGTGGAGAATGACGTCCATTCGGCTCAGTGGTTAAGCTCTTCCCCATTAAAAAATACCTTGTTCACTCCAGATTCCACCTTGGATCAACAAGCTGCATATTAAATATAATACAGTTCAATTTATATATTGTATATTAAATATTATATCCTTAAATATCCTTGAAAAATCTCTACAGATTCTTAGGCAGCAAATTCCACATCTTTATTGTTCTTACTATATTTAAATCAATCCCTCTGCCATAGGTGAAATTTCCTTTCTTCAAGCTTAAATGGTTAGCTTTTTGTTCTTTGTACAGTCCTATTAATGAACAGGTTACCTGAAAGCTGTTTGTACTGATCCTGTATATAATTTTATAATGTGAACACATCACTTTTTTTGTTCTTAATTAAACAAGTTAAAGTTTTAGCATTTTCTGTTTGATAGTACTACTGAAAACTTTCTTAGAACTCAATCTAAAAGTAGAATAGTTTTTTTTCTCTCAAACTACACTTGTGTAAGCAAAACAGCTAGCACCATGTCGAGCCACAATTGTATGCTCTTTAAAAAGAGCATAAGTTGTACCTGGCATGACAGGTACCCTTTATGTTTGGTAAACGTCTCCCTATTATATTTACAGTAATAGGCTCACACATTGACTTATAGAGCTTATAAGTTAAAAGTTCCACAAAGATAGAAAATAACTATGACTATTTCATTGGTACCATTGATAAGTCAATATAGAAATTTTTTTTTTATGGGTGTTAGAGGATTATTAGCTTAAGAGTCTCAAAGTGTCATATTTAGATTTAATAATATAATATCCAATATCCAAAAAGGTGGACAATCAAAACAGAACATCTTTCTTGCTTGGTGCTGATCTGCAAACTATAGCAATAGTTTTAAATTATAGCACTCCAAGGACTTTCTTCAGGGTTAAATATAAAACTTAGCTTTTATTTAACAAAATAAAAAGGTCGATGTTTCAGTTTAAATGTTAAACTTTCATAAGCATAAAAAAATAATAATATATATGTATTTGCTGAAATAAAATGGAGGGAAGTGTAGACACCCATGTTCTAGCACAGCATGAGGCTCACATTTCTTTGTTGTAGAAATCTGTTTTTTCTCTTACGCCCCCAGATATAAATGTTAGTTGATAGATTCGGTGCAACTCAGAAGATTACAGAGATGATGGACAATTAAATACATACTGGTCAGGTTTTCCCTTCGTTAGGTTCAGCAGCTACAAGTTACGTTCGAAGTCAGACATAATAAAGATTGCAGATGCCTGTCACATTATCAAGAAATAGACATGTCTCTCAGAAAACCCGCATGAATCTGTCTTCTTTTTCATGGGTATATTGTGCATTGTGTATAAGCATGACAGTAATTGACACTGCAGTGAGAAATGCGTTCATTATGAGGAATGAAACCCTCATGATAAGATAAATAAGCTGTTTAGGAAGATTCAACGAGCAGTTAATGCTGTTTGTGTCACTAGATACATAGTATAACATCTGCTTTGTTCACTGCATTCAGGCTGTAGAAGGCAAAAGGCACCACGTCCTAAGTGATTAGCACTAAGCAGTTTATGTCAGAACAGCTAACCAATCACAGGGCTCAAATTCAGAAGAAGTAAATCAGTACTCTGAAACAGACATCTACAATCCGAGTTAAAAAAACAGCAATCTATCCTGTCATTTTTTTATACTTCCTTTACTGTAAAAGCATAAAATTTTTACAACCTTCTAAGTGACACTGGAATATATATCTCAGATCGTTGTAAAAAAAAAAAAAAAAAAAAAGGAATTTGAATATTTTAACAGAGCATTTTTTATGGGAATAAAATAACGTTTGTCTTACTTTGCATAAATGAGCTATGCAATGCCGTGGAGTGTCCAAAAACTGGCATGTTTAATTCTTCTTTCTTAGTTACAGTCAAATTCAATAAAAATCACAATCATGTCATGTTTTTGTTATTCGCATATTAACATTGCTTTTAAAAATCTGGCCATTGGTTAAGATTTTGTATGATATTCTATAATTTAAGATATTTTGTAAATACACTGTGATGTTTGTTAGCACTGTAAGAAGCATAGTTAGCTGCCTCTGCTGTAGCTGATGGCTGAAGTCAGTGTTAGATTATCCAGTGGTCAAGTCAAGCTTTGTGATCTGTGATAAAAGGGAAGAGCTTATGGTTAAGCAACGGAAGCTAGTTAAACATTATGTATGGGCCTTGATGATCTTTAGAAATTATCTTTTGAAAGTGGTAGCATGAAGCACCATTGTCACTTAGAATGTGATGGCATATAAGAACCATTCGGCCCATCTAGTCTGCCCAATTTTCTAAATACTTTCATTAGTCCCTAGCCTTATCTTATAGTTAGGATAGCCTTATGCCTATCCCACGCATGCTTAAACTCCTTTACTGTGTTAACCTCTACCACTTCAGCTAGGAGGCTATTCCATGCATCCATTACCCTCACAGCAAAGTAATACCTGATATTATTATAGAAAAATAGAATGTGACTTCCTTGTCACAATTGTAATGTTACCTCCTGCTAGATCCAGTACATGCTGCCATATCAGGTTCTCTGCATCTTGCACCATAATGGTGACAATTCTGATTTGGAATGCTGTTATACCACACTCTTGTATTGTCTACAGAATATGTGAAAATTCGCGACACTCAGGCCATTGCTCTGTTGTGTTTTCCTGGCATTGCCAATAGTATTTTCCTTGTTCTGTGTAACATAGAAACATAGAATGTGACGGCAGATAAGAACCATTCAGCCCATCTAGTCTGCCCAATTTTCTAAATACTTCCATTAGTCCCTAGCCTTATCTTATAGTTAAGATAGGCTTATGCCTATCCCACACATGCTTAAACTTCTTTACTGTGTTAACCTCTACCACTTTAGCTGGAAGGCTATTCCATGCATCCACTACCCTCTCAGTAAAGAAATACTTCCTGATATTTTTTTTAAACCTTTCCCCCTCTAATTTTAGACTATGTCCTCTTGTTGCGTATTCATGTTTATATTTGGCCCAGTTTGCTGTTGTTTCCCTTTGATTTTTGGGTACCTTGACCCAGTTTTATTTTGTATCTCGTACTCCCCTGACTTTGGAGTGATCCTGACTTTTGCCATTTTACCTCTGTGAAGGCATCACATCAACACAACTTTAGGTTAATGATGTGGCATTAGTGTAGATCATGATCCTACATTCTCACTGCTGAATTCTCTGCCATGTAGGATTAAATCATTTTGTTCATATATCCTTAGCCATAGATGTTACTTGGGGCTCTTTGGGGGTGAAGCCTCAGATGTTCAAGATATCAACAGGTAGTGGAGGGGTCAATAAAATATTAGTGTATTTTTAGTTTTGCACAAAACAAATACAAAGAAAGATCCCTTGTATAGTGCCCCCCCAGGTAACCTTTGGGAGAAGGTGCTGTGGAATAGAACTTTGCTGCACCCCTCTCTATTAGTAAAGTATCTTGACAGGATTACATTGAATACCTGGATATATATTCAGGCTGTGCATTCATGGAAAGCATCAATATCACATTGTTTATAGGTAGGGGCGTAATATACAAAGGAAAGTAATGTCAAAGGCAAGTCATGTCATGACCTTCACTTCTGTTAGTGTAGGGTTCATTCATTTTTGTTTTGGGCTCAAGCCTCAGGTGTTTCTGGAACCTAGCAATGCTCCTAGTTTCAGTAACACCTCTCCTGTGTGAGACTCACACAGCCTTTCTACATACTTCCTGCAAAAGAGACCACTTTTTTTTTGCTTCTGTTATTGCGCAGTGTGTGTCAGTTAGAATTGTTGTTTTCTGCTCTGTTAATAGTCTGCCAAAGCCTGCAACATCATTCCTCCTGTGATTAAAGTTTATTTAACAGAGCAGGAGTTAATAACTTCTAAAGTAAACACAATATACTATAAGATTGAATTGAAAATGAAACCATTTTTTTCTTCATGCTGGCTGTGTGAGTCTTAGCAAGGGGAAATGCGGCTCGGGCCACGTAAATAGAAACAAACATGATTTAACTCCTAAATGGCAGATTATTAAGCAGTGTGACGGCCAGGGTATGATCCATACACCAAACCATTTCATTAAGCTAAGGTTGTTTTGTTTTAGAGTGTCGATTTAACCACACATTGCTATGTACCAGTAATACACATAAATCCTGGGTCTCCTATTTTCGAAAGATAGTATTGCGTTTCAAGTCCTATGTATTGGATCACTAACACTCAGTAAAAACAATTTTGTGAATTGACTGTGTGACAAACTCCCCTTTCCAAGTGAGTTTGCTACAAGCTCCTAGAGGAGCCTGCATGCCAGCCTCCTGCCCACAGACTATGGACCCTGTAAAATGAAATGTAAATTTTGTGAATTGACTTAGTTACAAACTCCACTTTCTAAGTGAGAAAGACACTGTTCGGTGGAACGTTCCCATGAACAAGGGGAACAAGCTCCAGGGTAGGAATATTGACTTTGTTCAGTTTTAAACTACCGAACTAGACTGACCTCTGGCCATGATCTTTTGGAACTGTTTTTGGCATGGGACCATGCATGCATTTGGTCAAATTATGACTTCCAGGAAAATCCTGAACCGATCTGGTTGATTTTTGGATATGTTGGTCACCCAGATTGGGGC